GTCTGACAAAGAGAGACCCTGCCCGTCACTCTGGTGAGAGGTTCTCGCTGCCTCTGGACCAAAAAGTGTAGCAGAGTGAGTTTACGAGCCTAATTCCAAATTCGCGTTTGTTAGCTTAATTAGTGATGATTAGCCTGACAGGACTGAGGATTTTTACCTTGTCATTTGGTAGCGCTGTTATCGGTTCTTTGTGTCCTTGACTTTCAGTATTTTGTAAAGCCTTAATCCTAGGGATCTTCTAGTCATGCATGAATTTATATTTTGTGCACGGGTTTTGAACCACTATTAAAAACTTAATATACTTTTCATTTTTAGCATACAGTTCACCTCATAAATTGGAGAAACAGGTTGAGCTCTGATAATCCATCTATTTAGTGTTTAAAAGAAAAAAAAGCTGATTTTGCCCTGCTAACTTTTACAAGCTGCATCATTCTGTGTTGTATTTGTTCTACTGTCTGTGCTATATTTTTTTTTTTAAGTCTGTGGGGTTTTATTTCCTGCTTTCCCTCAAGGTCTTCGTTTTGCATCAACTACAGCCAGTCTCAGAACTGAGACAGAAGTGGACACAAGCGAAAATGAGATTGTTGCCTCAGACTTCACTAACAGGAATCCTCGGAACTTGGAGCAGTTGGCCCTGGCTAGGAAGGAGCGTGGCTGGAAGACAACGTGGCCAAAGCGTGAATTCTGGCATAGGTGAGTCAGAAAGTCACCAGCAGAAATGAAGACTCCAAAATAAATAAATAAATAAATAAATAAATAAAAAACCAGGTGGAATTTCTCCAAATTTGCTTTTTGGGTTGTTGACTCAGTCACCCCCCCCCCCTTTTTTTTTTTTTTTTAAAACAAGTTGTGTTCAGAGAACAGTAGGCTATCATCACCTGAAAGTTAGCGTATGCGTTGAAGACCTTTCTATCTATTGTTAAGGTAGCAGTAAGATTGCTTAAGCAGCATTTTTTTATATATATATAAAAAAGGCATGTATTAAAAAAAACCCAGTTGTGTTATATATATATATATGTAAAAAAAGCAAACTCTTTACCAATACTTCTCAAAAAGTGGTACAAGAATACAGTATAAAAACACAGCCTCCAGTATAAGACTCGCAGTTACAGCAGCAGTTTCTAGAACATAAAATCCAGGATAAGCTACTGCGTGAAGTGGTAAGAAAGAGAGGTACGGTCCAGCCAAGCAAGGGGATCGCCCACAGGGTGCTGTTAGTCTTGGTGAGAGAGACATCATGCCATCACCATCTCCATAGGGATCCATCCAGAGATGAGCCCCGTGCTGGGAACTTAGGATCTCCTAGACCTGTGCTGACCATGCATCGTTGTTTTATTTGAGGCACCGTAATAGTCTGGGTGGTTTTTTTTTTTAGAAAATGCTGATTGCTTGTCCTCTGGAAAATAAGTTCATTTTAAGCTGGGGATTCAAAATCATGATTTTATTCTTGAGGGGAGAACCACGCCTGGTTTGTTCATACCTGGAAATCCGATATTGTCTCAGTGCAACAGAAAATAGTTGCTGCTAATACTCTGTGGTTGTGTGTTACGGCTTATGAAGTACTGCTTGACCGCCTGCCGATCCTGACAAGTGGTTACCTGCTGTGTAAGCAGAAGCCTTTACGAGACTGCATAGCAAACCTAAGGTTACATTTCTGCTGGAGCAGTTCCCCTGATCTAGTTCCTAAGCACCCCTACCAGACTGTGCAGGTATACGGTGCTTGGTTTGGAGTGAGCGCTGGCGTGAGGCAGCGTAGGGCTGTCACCCGTGTAACTGGTGAAAAGTCGCTCTGTGAATTTCACTCTGTTGAACTGGTAAAATGAGTCCTATTTTATGTTCTAATAAAGTAAGCAAAAACCTAGATAAGATAATAAAAGCAATATTAAGAAATCATTATTGTATTAATAGCTCCAGTACATTGTTTTATTTAAAGTGAGTCAGATGCATTTAAGCATTCGAATGTGTTCTCTCTTCAGATCTGGAAAAGACATCATAAATCTGTGTTATTCCTTTCTGTCACTCAGATTACGGCTTGAGCGGACACAGCATTATGTGGAAGCCTTCGTTGAGCGCTGTAATGGGGATGTTGTGGTATCTGCCTCTACCCGAGAGTGGGCCATAAAGAGACACCTTTACAGTCCCAAGGGAGTAACAGCATGCAAAAACCTTGGCCGCGTAATGGCACAGCGCTGTTTGGAAGCAGGAATCAACTTTGTGAACTTTAAAGCTGTTATCCCCTGGGAACATCGCTGTGACTCGGCAAGTACCCATCTTTTCCTTTTTAAGCATTAATTCTACTCCTCTTCACCGTTAGTTTTCTTATGTGGCTTGGCAGTCCCTTCTTGCAACACTCAAAAGGGTAGCTTTGGCAGGCTGCGATTCCTGGCATTATGCATCAGTGAGGCTGTTAACCTCTGCCCCTCCATGTAACCTGTCCCCACTGATATGTCGGTGCTGATGGCTTTTCTTTGTACTTATTCGTGTCTCTATCTTTTTAACAAGATTCAGGAATTTGAAAAAGCTGTGGAGGAGGGTGGTGTCGTTCTGCGTGAGCCACGAAGAATCTATCGGTAAAATGGAGACCATTGGGAAAACTTTCCAAGGAACAACAATCACTTCTTTAGGCGTGTGTACCGGCACAGTGAAGGTCCAGAGCTGGAAAGAGTTGGAACGTGGCATCTTACAATAAAATATTTTTAAACGCATGCAAGTATGTCACTTTCTTGACATTCTAAGATTCTAAATTATCAACATTTAGATAATTTAGATTCTAAAATCATCAACACCTTTCTTTTAAGGCTTGAATAAACTGTTACAGTTCAGCCTGACAGACAAACAATTTATTTCAGAGTTCAATAATTGTAAAGTATATTTTATTTTTTATATTTGATCTTGTGTTTGTTCTAGGCTGAACTCTTTGAAATGCTTCATCCATGTACGCGGCCAGTCCAATTTAGCAAAATGCAGTCATGATGTGAATGTTTAGAACTATAATAGTTCATGTGCTGAACTTGGTAAAAAGATTAAATTCCCCTAACTCACCTTCACAGCTCTCTTGCAACCCTTAGATTCTAACTACTTCAGCCTCGCAGGTCTAGGAGGGAAGCTGCACAAATGCCAGCTGTAGGGAGTAAGGAGCCCGTTGCCCTCTTTCTGTGCCTGTCTGCTGCTTGGCCACAGAGCAACGCTGCCGCCTTGTCTGCCCCACGGATCGGCAGAGCTCCTGCTTACGTCCAGGCTCTGTAATCCTGCAGCGTGACCCCGCGGTGACAAGAAGCACACTGTGGCTGCACCCTGGGCTCAGAGAGGCCAGCCTGGTCAGCGTGGCCCTGCACCTGTAACCTGGTGTTACCTGCTGCCAGGCGTTTGCAAACTTTGGGAGATGTGAAATGAACGCCAGGGTTGTGCCCCAGGGTACTGCCATGTGAGACTGGCCCGGTTCTGGAGTATGTACTAAATCCTTAGCGTTCAACTGACATCATTCTTAAAAAAAAATCCCGGCATTTTACTGGATTTTTACCTAGTAGTTGGTGCTGTTTCACAATATTTAATAACTCGTAGATCGTGCTAGCCTTTGTGTGATCTTCATCTCCAGAAGATAAAGATGCTTAACAGCAGCTCTCTCTGCTTTCCCTGTGAGCGAAGGCTCTGCGTAGCGGCTTCTCAGCCTTTTACGTTTCGAGTCTAAACCTCCCCGCCTTTTATTTCCGCGTCCCTGCGCGCCCTCCGCC